AATAATATTCTTCCAACATCTTTCAAAATTACGGCTCCATTGATGACCCAAAATTATGGACTCAACACATCATTGTGCAGGGCCACTCACAAACGATACAGAAAAGCGCTTTCAACCCATTCCGTAATCTTAATGCAAAATTCTGATACCACCATTCGTGCGTCAGGAGAGTCATTTTGCATAGCCGGCTAATTGAAGGCAAATCTTTGGCCCAGGCAACAGGGTTCGGATTAAAGCGACCTGATACGCACTTTTTATGGAGTAACACCTCCGGGGGTGCCCCACCTGACTTCCAGGCAACCCAACCCTTCGGATGCCCTCCCTGACATCCAAGTCCAACCCCTAAGGGCTGCTCTCCTTGGCATCCAAGAAGCCCAACCCCCGGGGGCTGCCCCACCTGACTGCCAAGCAACCCTACCCTCAGGGTTGCCCCCCCCCGGCATCCAAGAAGTTCATCCCCTCGGGGGCTGCCCCCTGGCATCCAAGGAGCCCAACCTTCCGAGGGCTGCACCACCTGACTTCCAAGCAACCCAGCCCTCGGGACTGCCACTGCCCCTCCTGTCATCCAAGAGGTTCAATTCCCAGGGGCTGCTTCCCTTTGCGTCACAGGAGCCCAACCCTTGGGACTGCCCCCCCTGGCATCCAAGGAACCCAACCTTCGGGAATGCCCCACCTGACTTCCAAGCAACTCAACCCTAGGGGCTGCCCCTCTGACATTCAAGAAGTCCATCCCCCACGAGCTGCCCCCCTTGGCATCCAAGGAGCCCAACCCCCCGGGGGCTGCCCTACCTGACATCCAAGCAACCTAACCCTCGGGGCTGTCCCCTTGGCATCCAAGAAGCCCAACTCCCAGGGGCTGCCCCACCTGACATCCAAGGAATCCAATCCTCCACCCCAGGGATTTAGAGCTGAGGTTTGAGGGAGCATCATAAACGGAGCCGCATCGGCGCGCGAGGCGGAGGCCCGGCGCGGACTTTCATGCCGCTTCGATCAGTGCGCCGGGGGAGCGCATATGCCGTTGAGGCGGCTTCACCTGGTGAAGCCGACTCCCGGCTCCTTTTCTGATGCTGCATCAGTTTTGATGCTGAGTCCAGCATCAAAATTAGCGGCTTCAATTAGCAGACGCGTCGGACGCCAGCGCCCCGGGCCCGGCTGCCGGTCGGCTAATTGCACCGGGCTGTGTTTTCAACCCTTCCTCGGCGAGGCGTGGGCCGCCGCCAAGACAAAGGGGTGTTCCGCGAATTCATCGCCGAGTCCGAGGGTCGCGGTCTTCTGGGACAGCCCCGTCGGTAATTAAGCTGGGTGGCGGGTCCGAAAATTGAGGCCGTATCGGGCCGCAAGCCGACGGTCCGGCCTCAGAGGCTGAGGCCCATGTTGGTCCCTGAGCCAGCATCAAACCTCAGCATCAGCGCTTGAGGCTGGCTCGGTCGGCTCTCCAGCATCGGGCTTCAATGCCCGAAGCCGGCGGCCGGCAGGTTGAGCGCATCAGGCTCGGAGCCGTATGCCCGAACGGCCGCTACCTGGGCATACGGCATTGATGCTGAAGCTACGAGTCGATGCTGTACAGCATAACCTCATGAGGCGCCTCAAATGCCTGCTCCACCCCCCTCCCGCTGGCATCCAAGAACCCCAACTCCCAGGGATGCCCCACTTTGCATCAAGGGGGCCCAACCCCCGGGGATGCCGATGCCCCTATAGGCATGCAAGGGTTCCGTCTATTTCCGCTACGCCAGAAGTACCCGCTGGGGAACAGCTCATATCAGTCAAGCTGGAATATGTATGCGCAGTATTTGCCTATTGGATCAAGTAGTGAAATAACTATGATGCTTGAAATTGAAGTCAATTTGATGTATGTAAAATAGTTAAATGAAGGGGGAACAGGCCGATGCGCGGAAATGCATTTGTTGGCAATGATATAAGCACGCATTAAAATTACCGGACCATCCCTCAGGGAGGCTCCCTCTTATCTGGAGACCTCTCTCAAACGAGAGAATCAAACTTTTGACCCTTGGGTGGTAGATGAAGCATTGTATGACTCGATTGACTCACCTAACCGTTGTGATGATTTGACAACCGACGTTGTCAGTTCATGATTGCATTGGCCCAGAGGGCTACATAATGCTAACGCGCCACGCTAGTAATAGGTTCCCATGAAGAAATTATACTGGAGGGCCCTCCAGTGATAAGCTTTCAGCAACTTTTGAAAACCAGGGAATTCTATGAAATATATAAAAATACAGAACACCTAATCAGCTTACATATGCTGTAGGCAGGAAATACTGGGGAGAGCGCGTTGTGCGTGAGGAGTGCTGCATCAAATGAGGGGCCAGAACGAGATATGCATCTCTGCATTTAAGCCAGAGATACGCGAAAAAAGTTTTACTGTTTTAGGTGACTTCCCAATTTTTTTCGATTATAGTCTTTTGCTGGCAGATATACAACATTTTCAACAACACGTTTATGCAGCTAGCTCAAAACTGTCAAAAATCGAAATACGCACTTCTGCACTTTCACCATCGATAAACAACAGCTCCATGGTATGGCAGAAAAGCTTCCTATTTCCTGTAGGATGCTCACTGCCTTCGTCAGCCATAGAGTGCGAATGGATATTCAATTTTGGAAAAGTAGCAAGGATAGTGTAGCTCATGACATACTTACTGTTGGTTGATATTATTCAAAAACTATGTGTCATAAATGTAGTACAGAAGCAATGATGAAACTTGGCTGTCCCAAAGTGATCGCCAAATGGAACCAGTTAACCGTAGCCACTGATGTGAAGCAAGTTATTAACAGACACACAGTACATTTGACACGTATTTTAAAAATATGTTATATTTCTAATAAAACACATTGTTTTTATAAAAGTTGATTAAAAATATGTTCAGGACGATTACATTAAGATTAAGATTTAACCATTTAACATTTAACCTACAAAAGACACGATTAGTTGTTGTGGTTTTTGTTCATGTGTTGTTTACATTATTATGAGATGACTATAGAGGGAAATCTCCATGCGCCGAAACGTTACCGACAGAAACCATGTAAACATTCTTGGCTTGCTTGGCTCTCTCACATATTTTGGGGTGACTGACAAGCACATTTAATTAGTCACTAAATTGAAAATGAACAGAGCTTTAAACTAAAAACGAAGTCAAATAGACCTATTTTAGAGTTTAAAAACCCTTCAGACTTGGTGGATGTTACCTGGAGTTTATGCAATAAGTTAAACGGGATTTACCATCTCGGATCAATTAAAACGAAGTCAAAATCACGGGAGTGTTTGATCATCTACAATATACATTCTCCTATCTTTACCGACGCGTCCTTGAGATCAGCTGTGAACGTAAATAAATAAAAAAACGAAATCGTGATAATTCTCATGATTTCAAATGAAAATTACGTTTTGAAATTTCATCGTTTCTTTTTCGCACAATCCTCCGTAAAATGTAATTACTTTACCACCGCTGTAGTTTTGTTTACGGTCGTTCAGTAATCCACTCCCTTGTCCCTCTACTTGTTCGTGCCTCCATTTATTTTATGGTGTTTTTTACTCAAGGTGCGGGAGAAAACTGTCGTGTTTTCGCGAGTCAATCGTTGATTTTTTAACGTGTTACTTTTTACGGTGAAAAGTTTTTTCTACTTATTTGAGGTGGGGAAACTCTCAATCGAACCATCAATCCAGAATCCAGTGCGTTCTCTCAGGAATTCTTTTTCACTACCGTGGATCCAATCCAGTACGTGGCGATTTCTTATGGATCAGATTCCTCTATTCTTATATGAGTGTTGTTGGTACCCAAAATTGCTGTTTGTTTCCAAGTTCTCAGACTAAAAGGGTAAATTAAAGGACTAAACTCATCGACACCTATAGTTTTGAGCTCCCTCATTCTCTACAGCTTCCTGTGCCCTGGAATGTTTCATCATCTCAGAACTTAGGCTGTCCTTGTTTGTCCTTTACTCAGAATTCTAGTATATGTCTTGTTTCTTCGTTACTTTAAGCAGCGGAGTGCGTGATTTTCTAAATAGATTTATCTACAGATAGCATCTCATTTACATGATTTGACAGTTTCTTCAGCCATGTTTAGTGAGAAATGGTTTTCTGGGTCACTGCAGCTGGCGAAGGGGAGGGCCTCGTAACCAGCTGAGAGGATTGTGTTTATCATTGTTTTGATTCAGTTGGTCTCACAGCAGAATCTGTAAGAAAGAACTTACTTTTAAAGGATAGTTATGTATGGAAGAAAGTATGTCTACAGTTTCAAATGACTTTTGATTTTACTGTCAGAGCCACTTATGACACCCGGACCCTTGTGGTTGCTGAATGGTGTTCTGAGCAAAATGATTCAAAATCAATGAACTTACTCTTCAGTATCCGTAGATTCTTATTGGAGGAACATATTGAAAAAAATGTATAATCCAAGTTGAATTGCTCCTAAACAGTTTTATGGACAAAATGGTAGAAAGTCTGAAATATGGTAATACCTTTATTTAGAGCTCACGTATCATATGTTGAGACAAATGTCAAAGGATTGTTTATGCCACCCCTTATCAGTGTTACCATCTGACTGCATATTTCAACCTGTTGAGTGATGCTAATCGAAAGCTAATCAATGATTGACATCCTAGAGTTCATAGAGTTGTAATGTAAGCAGGAGAGCTGGCGCCACTATTAAGCATTTTCCAGGTCCTGAATTCCGACACTCCAGTGTCATGCCTGGTCACTCTTTTGATATATAATCGATTGTTTTTGATACTCTGGGACCAAACCATCCAATGTAAATGAAGAAGATAAGAATTACTGCGTATTCCACACCATCATTTTGGATCGAACATGTATGGAAATAGTGACCAAAGCTCGGCGCATACCGGGCTCGGAACTCGTCGTCCAGGACATGGCGCCAGCTCTTCCATTTACATTATGACTCTATGTACTTTATGATTGACATAGTCTTATGTTTGTCTCAACATATGATGCGCAAGCTCCACTCAGACGCTCCAAACTATTTTCCTTTGAAGAGTGCTTCAGGGAGTGTTAAGAAACCCATCATGTAAACTCATATCGACATTATAAGTCGGCAATCACATAACTCGGTTTGCGACGACGCAGACTTCCTGTCATACTTCATTTTTTAAACAGAAAACTACTCAACTGCAATTCTATAAAGCTGCCGAGATTTTTCTTCTCTCTGCAAAGAAAGTTCTGCGAAAATTTCAGGGAATGATGTCAATTTGTTCTCTCTGAATAAAATAACATAAAGGTGGAAATTTTCAGACACCGCAAACAAGATATGTGATTGCGGACTTATGCCGTCAACATGCATTGCAAGTAAATTTCCTTCTAAGAGCACATAACAAAAATTGTAAGCAGTAACAGTAGCATCCATTTAATTAAGAAAACTTATTACAGAAAGCTGTCCAAACAAGATTACTTTTCCCACACATTTTTTGAGGCAGCCTTCACATTACTGTCCATATCATATTGTGCCTTTCACTAAGTATTTACTTTGCACATGAGAGTGCACCACACAGTTCCCTTTGCTGAAAAAAAATTCACCTAGCAGTTTCACTACAAAAAACGATACGTTGAATGATCTCCTTAAAAAATAGCAAATTTGTACGAAGAAATAACACTAAAATTTAGAAGAAAACTCCACCATGTCTTCTGCCACCTTCACGTTTGTTCCCCTGTAAGTGCTTTCTCATATTTTCTTCCTCTTCAAGTGCCTTCATTTTCCTCCGCAACTTGCCGGTCTTTCTGCACGTCTGCGCTTGTTAACTTGAAAGGATATAGTCTCCAATATAATTTTAATAAATCTCATCAGGAGCCATTTATAGTAGCCTTACTTCATTTAGAAACATGTGTACTGACATAGTTTTTTTTTTTTTTTATACCATTATTTCTTATATCACATTTTTTCTTTTTTGTAGGATTTGATGATTACTTAGTCTCTGGAAAGGAGCTCACTGAAGACGATTAACTGCCAGGGAATGCCTGATATTGTTTGTGGTGATTTTGTCTTCGTCTCCGACTTTGACTCCAGTAATATTGCACATGCAGAACAAGTTGTTAGGAAAGAACCAGGTTTGTTAAATTGACCTTTTTAAATCCTTCCTCTTACCATTTCATCACAGATTAAATAGGACGTTGGGGCCATTTATACTACACTTTTTTATATGAACATGAAAATTTGGCGGAAGCATATTGACGGCTAAAGTGTCAAACCACTAGGTATCTTTATTGCGGTGCTTCGAAATTTCTGCTCCTCCTTTATTTTTGCGAGGAGAAGCAAGTCAGTTACATAGCTTGAAATTTCTCCTGCAAATTCTACTAATGGAGAAAAAAAATCAGAGGAGTTTACAAAACATTAAGTTGACTGGTTTTTCAAAGAAAAAACAATGTATGACAGGAAGTCTGCGACAGCACAAATAGAGATACGTGGTTTCGCACTTTGGCCATCGATAAGTGGATCAAGGACCAAGAAACTAAAAGGCGTGTTCAAAAGAAACTGTAATTCATTCTATGAAAAAAAAAATTGTGTTGGTTCGTAAATAGAACAGACAGCATTACTATTGCCAGGTTGTGTTCGGCATGAATAGCTTTTTCGCTGTATCTTACTTTAAGTCATAGGACTTAGCCCATTTGCCTCACATGACAAGTTTACTTGTCAGGAGGCGCCTAGGACATTATCTCAGCTGACGAATTAATTCGCGCCATTTTAAGCGTTCCGACGCTTGAGATGCCATCTATCAAAAAGTGAAGAAACTGCCAAAAAAATTGCATAGCAGCGCAATGCCGCAATTTAACTCGTCATTGAGATATGTCCTGCGCGTGCATGACGAGTATACCCGACAAATAAGGCGAATGGGTTAAAAAGCTCTCAAATATCCTAAGATTGCTTTTTCTCTTAGGCAGTCCTACCAAGACTCACTTAATATTTAAGTATCCAACATTTCTGGTTAGGTTATCTACTGGTCCAAAAAGTCTAGAAATAGTACTGATTTTTTAAGGGCAGTCTGAAAATAGTGAAGAGTGCAAAAATCCGCAAGAAGGTCAAATATTTTTCCCTCATACCACGCTTGTTTTTCTGAATGTGTTGACAGCATTTTTGCTGCAATTCGAACGAAAATTTCAGATTTTTGAACTTTTTCAAATTCCTTAATGAAAGTTCATGATTTTTACTGTAGTTTTACCATAAAAGGAAACCGCACTTTTTCTGGCCTTCCCATTTTTGAAACCCGTTTTCAGGGTCTTCCATTTGTCGTACGCAACTGATCAGGCTGCTTGGTTGCCTGGCCAAGAAGTTTTTGCATCCCTGCAAATGTACACACAATTCATTCACAATATACACAGGAATTTCTCTCAAATAGTCTTGTCGATTAACGAATACAAATGAAATAAAAACAAGCTTTTACTGAGTTCTTCTCTTTCTGACCTGTGTGTGACCTTCCTGACCTTTCACTGTACATAGCCATTATATCTGTTTCAGCAAATGATGGAGTGGATTTTGAATTCAATGTTTGGACGCACCCTGACTGTGCAGGCACAGAGTTCGAAAACAACAATCGCTCCTGGTTTTATTTTGGAGTTACAGGTATTTTTTCTCTTTGTACCTCTGATATTTGTACCAAAGATGCCAGTATCTTTTTTTCTTTTTATCGCAAACTGTAGGAAGTGAAAGCACATCGTTATTTGCCCCTAATTTTTAATTTTACAAGCATCCTTTTCATTCAAATCAGGCCTCTTACCGCTGTGTTTATGTTGTTCATCATCATTTCATCAGGCTCTTAATAAAAGTAAACCTAATTTCACATTTTTGTCACGTTCCGTTTATTCCTGGTCTAATAAGGTTTGTCTGATAGAATTAGCAACGCCAGTTTTTTTTTTTTTCAAGTAGTCTCATGAAAAGATTTCAGAATCAATTTATTGATCTCGGTGACGAATTTGTCAAAATTAACTACTTCTCTTTTTGACAACATTTCTAAATATACTAGAGTCTTTCTACCAAATTCGTGACTTTCTGCATAATTAGGGACTTCTGCCACTAAAATTTCAATTAAGACTTTTGGCTCTTCTGTTCAGAGTATTGTTTTGCGAATATTTTGGTGGGAAAACGCCTGATTTTGGTACGCCAATAAGTATCATAGTTTTAAGTTTGCAGCTCAAAGAATATTGCTTTGAGGAAAAGCTGCATAAACTTCTACTTGCAATATTTTCTTCTGCTTTAATTAGAGTGCTTTTTCTGTAGAAACATTAGTTCAAATTTTTCAACTCGTCCTGAGGTAAAGTGTTCTCCTAAAAAATGTTCCTTCACGGTCTAAGGTAGGTAGTTACGATTTTTGTATGTTGGCAACACAGTTGGAAGTATTTCTAGCAAACGGACTTTCGTGCATTATGACGTGAGCCCTGTTCTACACATTCTTATGGGTCTCAGGGCTCATGGCTTAATGCACATAGTTCTGTTTGATAAAAATACATCCAGTTTTTCTTTCATTCATATCCATTTTAAATATCCACTGTAGACGAGGCAGCCTGCCTTACTTAGAATCAATTGTTTTACACACACTGAAATGGAAGGAAATCAGTGCTGCTAACAAACACGCAAAAATCGCCACTGACTAGGATCATTTTTTCTAATGAACTATTACAATTTTTAAAATTTAATCTATCTATGTAGGAGGTGTACCGTTTGCCACTGTGAAACTGAATGTCGTGAATCTCAATCGACAATGCAAAATGTACAGCCAAGGAATGGCACCTGTCACGCGTACATCGCCTGGCAAGTTACACTGGGAAAGAATACGGGACCGTCCTACTTTTTCGGTAAGCAGATTGCTTCAAATTCCTTCTTCGCTGAAATCGAGTTCAGGAAAAGTTATTGAAAAATTTACAGATGCTGGAAATGATTCTTAAACGAACAAGATTTTGTCAGAAGACGGCTGACCGCCTATGCTGAAAAAACTTGTGATATCTAGGTTCTACCATAATGAGGAAATTTTTATGGTCATTAAATCAAAATCAATTGGAATGTCGAACATGTTACTCGACAAAGAAATGTTCCAATTACCAGTCTTTTCTCCTGTTCGAAACCAACTCTCTCTAATCATTAATGGAAAATTTTCTAAAAAAAATGTAATTGCTTCATATTGATGTTGATACTGCAGAAACTCACATCTCGGATTGTGGACGTGCAGACTTCTTGTCATACTTGATTTTCTAAAGAAAAAACTACTCTACATTATTTCCTCAAGAAAGTGGTGATTTTTCTTCTCTGAGTGAAGGATATTCTGTGAAAATTGATGTCATTACTTATTCAGTTTCCCCTCATAAAACGAAATAAGAGCAAAAATTTTGAAACATCTCAATCAATGTATGCGTTTTTGCAGTCTCGTCGTTGATATGAAAGTGCTTGATGAGCAGAGGTTTTTCATAATTTTCCTCCGTCATGGAAAATTAAAGAGAAGTGGGAAATCATCTATTTCAATGTATAAAAATTCTCTGCCTTAAGATGTCTTTGGACAGTATCTCCCATTCGAACACTTCAGCAGATTCAATTCCTGTGTCGTAAATCTTGCAATAATTGTTCCATTCAGAAACGGAGAATATTCTTGTGTTCAATTCGCTCTGTGTTTTCTGTTTATAAGGGAAATATATCGAATTCCGGACACCCGCATCGAAGGAATTGCATGAAGAAATAAGCCGGAAACAAATTCTCAGAAATGATTTCAATCATATGTGAGAAAAAGGTTGCAAGATCGTTTGTTTATTCAAGTAAAGTTTTCTTACATCCCTTTTTAGGCAAACCTGGTTGCCAGCTGCTAAGAATAACCGCCCCTCTAATGCAGTATATTTGAAAAAGGGCGATACAGACCATGCGAATTGTAAGTCTAAGAATAAATTGTAGACTTTTGCAATGCACCCAATATGATTTTTATACAATTTTATCTGTTTAAATAATTCTGTATATGTTTATATACTGTTGCTCAACTGATCAATTTTTATTTTATGCCAGATGGAGGATAACATTTTCACCGTCAGTTGGAAGTACCGAACTCTTGAAAATTTACGTGCAATAACATACTTTGCTTTCACTTATCCCTTCTCATACACGGATTTGCAAGCAAGCCTGAGAAACATTGACATCAGATTCCTAAAGTCAACCGGTAAGTAAACTGTTTTTCATTTGAATTCTCAAGCATTGAAACTTTATTAATATTTCTGTGTTTTATCCCGGTCAGTCTGAAGTATAAATCATTTTTTTCAGGGGAAGTCCCGTAAAAAGAGGCGACTCTCCTGCCTAGTCTTTTGACACCCTTTTTCAGATTTCCCTGTTCAAGGTGAAGTGTGAAAAAATATTTAAGTTGAACTCAAGTGCCTGATAAGGTTCAGGTATATTAAAATCTATTTTGCCAAAGTCATTTCTATTTATTCAGATCAACCAAGTACAGCATTATTTTTCCCGTTTGTTTTTTTAGCTTCAACATGTTTTATTAAAAATTTTGGTTTCTGGTCTCAACTGTTTTTTTTTTCTCAACAGAACGCGGTCCAAGGCTCAAGAAAACTAAGAAATCCATCAACAAACGTATCGATTTATCTCGAAAAATTGAGAAGAAGGAGAAGGTCCAAAGTAAGTATTCTTTGTTGCATGAATTCTTTACATGTATTGCAATACTTCTTATCTCCTGGGAGAAAATTACATGTTTATTGCGCACTTGTAAGAATAAGAAGAGAGCAGCACAAAAGTCAGAGATTTAGCATACTTTTCCGTTCCCTAAAGGAACAATCAGCCATTCCTTCTCAGCTCCATGCTATGCTCAAAGATTTTATGGGAACAGCAGAGATAGAGTTGAGTGCATTAAGTGACACAAATTCTATGTGCCAATGACAAAATTGAATTTTAAGTTATTTCAGCTGGCGATATAGAGGTGTAAAGTGATAAAGGAAGCAAACTTGATTCTGCCCTGCAGTTTTTACTGCGTTACCAGACACTTGCCTAGCCAGGAAAAAAAAATCAAATTCTCAACCCTCGTGTATAATTGGCAGTAAACTTTTTGATTGATCAAAGAAGAAAAGAAAACATTGTGAACCATAGACGTTTAAAAACAAAATTACCCCACCCAGTGAGATTTCTTTCCTGTTGACGGTCAAAGGTTTCCGGCAGTTTCAAAGGCAGGAAACTGACGGCAATATGAAGAAGTCAGGAAATTTTGCGAGTGGTATGTTGGCTCAGGAATTTTAGCCGTTGCCATTTGAAAAAGCAAGAAAATGACTTCAGAAGGCCCCTTTCCTTAATATGAATCCCTACAAGTGGAGATTTTGTCCACAGTTCAGCAAATGTCACAATCGTCAAAAGAAAAAAATCTCAATTGAAGCTCTGATGGAGGGTGAGAGAAAATTAAAGGAATTCAGAAATTTTAGAGTTCTGAAGAAGTGAAAAAAGTCAGAATAAAATTAGAGAATGTTAAGGATTGGGGGAATGAAGAAATTATGGTGCTGTAACTACATATCAAATTATTTTTGGGTCATCTATCTTGTGCTCTTGTATTTTATCAACTAGACTTCGCAAGAGTTTCATCTACACCTTCATATTGATCATTAAAAAACATGTGTATTGTTTCCAGGACATCGCCTTGATGATATCTACTACAAAAGGGAAACCATTTGCTTGACCTGTGAAGGAAGAAAGGTGGACTTACTGACCATCACATCTTATCATGGCATAACATCTCAGAGAGAACCCCGATATGCTGGTTTGTTTCCCGAAAAGGATGTCGATCGACCTTTTCGGTTTGTGGGTAAAAAGGTTAGTTCATTTAAACAATCAGGTATCAAAGGGATTTATTTTTCTTTGACTTAGATTTCTTGTTGTCATTATTTGAAACTGGATCTCCCTTTAAATGTTAATGTTCAACGTTAATGATGAGCAATGCCCAAATTGCGTTTGTAGAAGATAAAATAACTAACCATCCTTTGAATAAACACTTGCCATGATGTGCATTGTATTAATCATTTTAATGGATACAATGGCTGCTAGAATGATTTGTTTTTAAAGGAATATGCACGAAATACAATGAAATTTGGCTCCGGCTAAATTTTAATATTATTTGATATGGTGTGTCTCATAACTGTCTAAGCAAGATGAGCTTTTAAAATGGAAATTTCTGTGTGCTAATGGCCCTCTTATACGCGTTTTCTAATGGGGATGTGCGACTTTTGCTATGTTCATATGGGGGCTGCATTGTACGCTGTTATCATTCTGGCAAAAAAAAAAAAAATTCAGAGCTGAAAAATTTATTTTCCTTGAGTTTGGTGCACAGAAAGTCCGATTCTGTAAGCTCATCTTGCTCAGGAGGCCATATGAAGCATCATATTAAATAATTGAAAAAAGTACCCAATGCCAAATTTCTTGGTATGCCGCTCATAATTAAGATAAAAATCTTCACTCAAATCAAATAACTGATACGTAAATATATGAAAATTTCTCCACTTCACAGGTCATCTTCCTTAGTGCCAGAGTGCATCCGGGGGAGACGCCATCAAGCTTTGTCATGAACGGAGTGATACAACTCCTGATTAGCCGTGATGATCCTGTCGCCATAGCTCTCCGTCGTTTGTATGTTTTCAAGTTAATGCCAATGCTTAATCCAGATGGAGTTTCACATGGTCACTATCGAACAGATATGCGGGGTGTTAATTTGAATCGGTTCTATTTGAACCCGTCTCCACTCTATCAGCCGTCAGTATATGCGGCCAAGTAAGTTTTTTGCAATTGAATTAATCCCTTCAAGTGTTGGGCCAAGACTCAAGTATAACATCCTTTAAAACACTTGAATGTGTCTAATTTTCTCCCATATTTATCTCTGTTTAAAAATACAGAAGTTGTAAGAATTGACTAAATATGCCTAATAATATATAAAGTTTCTATGAGAGAAGGTAACTGAAATGAATGTAAAAATTGTATCAGTCAGCAAAATTTTATCAATTGGTGATTGATAATATCCTGGCAGCTTTAGTTCATAGAGAAATTAATATGATGATTGACCAAGATGCAAGGTACAAATTCAAGCACTGAGTTAATGTTTTTTCTTTCACTTAGAGCGCAACACATACAACAATTGTTATTGAGAATACACTACTTTTAACTAAGATATTGACAAGTGTTGATACATCCATTCAAACTTTCTGCTCATGAGAAACCATGATTTACTCACGTTAAATTGCACATCAGACGTTACGGTAACAGCTTGTACGGTATGCAAATGTGGCAACATCAATCTCAGTGCTTTTTGTTAACTATTGCACGTTGTTTACATTTTGAAAAACAGAGGGTGAGGAAGGAACACTGATTGATTGATAAGCTTGCCAAAACTATTTTAGCCCTCATTTTAATTCACGTAGACTTTGATTTTTCTTGTGAGCAAGAAATTTTAATTTTCTGTAGCCAATGCGGAACAAAAACGTCCATATCTTGGTTTGAAGTTAACTTTAGTCATTTTCGTTGAGTAATTGGTGTCCTCTGTAAAATTTTGAAGAGAAAACCAGAATGCCTAAATGGGTTACTAAACCTTGTTTATTTTATTGAATATTCTGAAAGTACAATGTGAGTAGATAACGTGGTGATTTTTCCGCATTTTTATGGAGCCAAAATCGCGGAGAAACCCGGTTTTGAAAAATCTAAAAACTGCAAGACATTTCAAACGCACCCGAATGGCAGGAACCTGACGGTGTTGACGCACTGCGGTAGTCATATCGCAATCTTCTCTCATTTTCCTCTGATATTCGTTAAAATAAAACGTGTTTCAATATGGAATTGTTGCTCGTTTATTACAGCTAACATATGAATGAGATTCAAGTCTTGAATTCAAAAGATATAATTTCGACTTTAGTATTGTTTTAGACGTAGTATTGTAGTAGATAGACATTTGACGGAAGTTGTGGAAACCCGTGCCCGCTTTTGATTGGTGCCGGATGACATCATTCGGCGCGGCGCGAAACCGGGGCATTTTAAATTTGCATATAAGTTGAGCGATTTGAACTGTGCATTTCTCGGTTATTGAGTTACTTGTTCACGTTTCAATGTGCGCATTGTGTTCTACGTGTCATTTTCCTTCAGAAAACTACATTCGCGAGTCAAAATTCGTTCATGATTTAGTGACCCATTGGTATCTTTACTGGTGGTCCAATTAATGAATTGGCAGAGTTTTAAAAAGTTATGATTTTCTGGCAACTTTTCAAGATTATGTATTTTTAATCAATGGATATCCAAAGTATAGCTTATCCCCAAAAATTCCAACTCTTTCTGTGGGTTTTACGCGTTCTAGAAAAAAGTCACCCATATCTAACAATTTTCTGAGTTATCAGGAATAAAATTAAAAGGAATACTAATAAAGGTAGAGAAATTCTTGAAGAATGTGAGCTCAAAAGGAGAAATTTAAGTACATTTTAGGTTTTCTAGTTGTGTAATGACTTGTTGAAGATCATTCAATTTTGTAGTGAAGGAATGGCTTGCCGATTGATCACATGTGAAGGATTTATTCCGCTTATTTTTTTAAATATGTTGTCAGCCAAGCAGGGATGATTATTAATTAATATTCCTACGCTTTTCTAGGGCTGTTATCCTCTACCACTTCAACGGCAATGAATCTGAAGACCTGTCGATGTCAGTTGACAGTAAATCAGAGAAACCTCCACGCATCACCCAAAGCAAAAGTGAAGATTGCTTTCTCTCTTTATCCAAGGACATGTCTGAAACACCATCCAGTGCACCAGTGCGAGCAATAGCTTTCGTAGACAGCAAGACTAGCTTAAGCTCAGCAATCCCTGCTATGAAGGTAGAAAGCATGCCAGAAGCAATGAATGTTGCCCCTGAAAAACTTGGCCCTGATGGTGCTCTCGCTTCCAAAAATATTGGCAGTGAAAACTTAGATTTGCTGCAAAATTCAAGTGTAGCTGATCCCCCAGTCGAAATCGATTTCAACTCAATAAAACTGGAATTAGCGGCAGGTGGATCTGCTGAACCTGTCAAGCCAGCGCAGATTTTTTCGACTGAAATGGTCGGAGCAGTTGGAGTGATCGAGCTGAAAGGTCAAGAAGAAATGAAACAGGGTCTTATTGGAAATGATTGTGATAATCAAGGCTGTGATGATAAATTAGGTGTAAGTGACTCAAGCGATGTGATTTGTAAAGTAGAAAAAGTAAGTCAAGAAAGTGAATCCTTATCTAGAGAGACATTGTCCTCCCTGCGTCTGTCTCCAATGCAGGCCAGTGTGAGCCAAGATTCACTGCTGAGCCCAAAACTTTTTGCGAAGAAGGCTCCGTGGACCAATCAACCGAAAGCAGGCTGTGAGTCTCCTGATTCGGAGCTCTTTTTGTATGTTGACTTCCATGGTCATGCTTCAAAAAAAGGTAAGCACTCAAGACTTTGGAACCCAAGATTATTTTTAAGAAATTTTTTCAGATTTAGAGTTGCAAAAAATGTGTAATCTTTGGAATGACGTTTTTCAAAAATTCATCTTAAAAATATTTTGTAAGCTTTAAATTATTGTAGCTACCTATCATTATGTATGATTCTCAAAAAAATAGAACTCTTTGATGGAGTCCATAAAATTTTTCATGTAGGTGAGTTCTCATGAAATATCTCCACCTAATTGTTCAGTTGAGCCTTGATTACCTTTAAATTTGTATATTTTGCAGGGATGCAAAAATACCTGAACCTAATCTTGCAACCCATAGACTGCAAGGAACATAAGGCAAACGTTCAGACATAATGATAGTTTTGATAATTGGAGCAAATTCAAAGCCTGCAAAAACGCCAGATTGCGTTAAATGGCCGGTGTTTTAAAACTTTTTGCACCCCAGGTATTCTACGTGTTGGCAAATTTCGAAGTCATTAAAATTTGCGTTCTATGGCTCAAAACCTTAAAATGATTTTCCTCATAAGTGCGCTTTGTAATTTTTTTAAATAACAATTAAATGTGATTGTAATAAAATTATTGTTTTCTCCAACTTGCAGGGATTTTCATGTATGGAAATCATTTTAGCAACACTTTGGATCAAGTTGAGTGCATGCTCCTACCGAAGCTGATGTCAATCAACTCTCAGAATTTCCATTTCAACGCATGCAATTTCACTGAGAAAAATATGTATTTGAGGTAAATTAGTCTATTTAAAATCTTATTTTTACTATCACTGAAGCTGAACTGACAAAGTAAACTCCCACTAACTATAGATCAATTGCTAAAACCTTGAAATTGTCCGACCAGAAATTTTTAAATCATCTAATTAATTGTTCCAAATCCACGCATTGCCCTACATATTTCATATAAGGAAATGCTTTTCCTCAATTGAGTGTACCATTTTAAAAAGAGCAAAAGCTCACTTTTTTGAAAATTGATTTTTTGGCTTTTCCTGCATAAGTACCTACATCTCTACATATTTTAATGTATGTCAACTTTATGAGAACGTCATCAAAATTCACAATTTTCTCACTAACATAGTCCCACACAGTTTTTTTGTGTCTCCTGAAAAATTAGTTTTTTAGACCTACGTTCTTTTCAAAATAGTGCATTAAATTGATTTTTTTTCTGTAAGGCAGATTTTTTTTTTTTACAGGATTATTGAAGTCACACAATCATTATCTCAAAGGGTATTAAAAATAGTTTTTTTGCCTTTGGGAAATTCCCTGGAGAAGTTAGAATTTTACTCTAGGGGTTGTACATAAATTACATCCCACTCAGAAAGGAAGAAGGGGTCAGATACCGCTTAGCATGTAAAAATTTTTTTAAAATTGTTGGGATTAACATGTCAAAAATATCGACAAATAATGTAATTTTTTTATGTGTGTGTGTCTGTTTAAAGGGAAAATTAAGTAAAGCCTCATGTTTTCCAGGGGGTACAAACTAGGGTGATAGATGGGTGACAAGGGAAAGGGACATCCATACCTCCACTTTTCAGTGTGATGCAATTTACAAACCTCTAAATTAGATGGAAACCAAAAGATTTTTCTCGGAAAAATAGAATAATAATATGTAAAGATGAAATTTCCTATCAAACTTAATTCAGAAAAAAATAGCAGTGAAGTATAAACTAAATTTGTTTTTATTTTTTCAGAGATCGACGAGACGGTTTGAGCCGGGAAGGCTCTGGTCGAGTGGCCGTGTGGAAGACAACAGGTCTACTGAAAAGTTACACATTGGAGTGCAATTATAACACGGGGCGATTGGTCAACACTCTGCCTCCACCTCTGCGGTCTCTTGAAAAGCGGCACCACAATCTACTGGTTCCTCCTAAGTACACGCCGCAAGTATTTGAAGAGGTACCGTGACCCACGCAGTGCGCAATTGAGGCACTGGATGCGAAAAGGGCACTTCTCTGTTGCAGTGTTTCAGCGTCTCATCTAATATTTCATTCATTGTAAGGAAAGTGAATGCACCCATTTCACTAAAAATTTTACTGAAAATTCCTTATGATTCTACAATTTTCTATGAAAAGAATTCTGGAAAAATCACCCACTGAATTCTTCTCCAAGGGATTGATTCGCAACAGAGATTCTGAAACACTGCAATCGAAAAGTGCGCTTTTCGCATCCAGTGCCTCAATTTTTCCTTTGTGTACCTAACAGTCTCCTTCATCATTTCTGCTTTCAACGAAATCCTTTAATATCTACTTTGATGTTGGTGAGAACCAGTAGGATTGGACCACATTTTGCAATTAGGAACTAAAATTTCTGGCTCAGTTTGTAAGTAACATTTGTGCCATTAGTTTCCTCATAGGTATTTTCATGCATGAGCCAAAAATTGTATAGCTCCTAATCGCTGAATGCAATCCAATTGTTTATTACCATAGAAAAAAAAGGATGTGGTCGCATCTTGAGGATTCTTTACCCTGTAGGTCGGGCATCGTTATGCCAGTAAAATCCGGAATTGGAACCAAACGTCCGTTGTCGTATGGAAAACGGAACAAAACGTCCATGAAAGACTTTCTTCCATAAACGACACCACTTCCAACAAAATCGATGATATAAACTGTTCTTACTTCTTATCGACCTACACCATTGAGAAAATCCAAGATCTCCAAAATGGAACCACCTCCTTTTTTTCTCTATGGTTTATTACATTTTGTCTGCAAATATCAACTGAGAAAGTCCTAAACCATGTATTTTGTGCCCAAACACTCGGTATAAAGATTTCCTGTCAAACTTAATGTTTTGAATGTAAAACTACTCAATAGCAATTTTTATAAATTGCCATGATTTTTCTTCTCTACGAAAAAAATTCCGTGAAGACTTCTAGAAATGATGTTAATTCTTCTATTTTAAAAAAGAATAAAATTGGAGCAGCAATTTTAAAACACTGCAAACAAGGTGCATGGTTTGGAAGATTCACTGCCAATATTTATCTTATGTGCAGGATGTAACCATTATGATTCTTAGCCTGTAAGTGTTCATGCAAGGTCAAGAAATCCTATTAAAAAACCACAGAATGCAAGAGCTGTGAAATTCCAGAGCCAGAGACCATCGCGCGCTGGTGCAATTTCTCCGTTTTGTTCATGGTATTTTCTTTAAAATAAAATTGTTCAATGGTAGATAGGCAGGTTGCGTTCTATCTACTTGCAGCAAAAGGAAAACTTACTGCAGAAGAAATAGGTCATTACAGGATCCCATCCTTTCTTTTGTGTCCTTTTTTAATTTGGTATCATATATGTCCTTATTTAAGCTTTTTATCCTCATTTTTTGTAGATCGGGAAAGCATTAGGTGCATCTATTCTTGATCTCACCGGTTCGAATCCTAATAGTCGTCTTGCAAATTCCGAGTACTATAGTCTCAATGGAGTTAGAGACTGGCTGAAGCTGCAGCAAATCGCAGAAAATAACTTGACTGCTCTGCAGCGGACTGTAGTCAATAAACAGTTCAAAAAACTTACTGGATCTCAACCGGTAAGTGCTTTTTACAATGACATTCAAGTCTTTGCACCTTGAATCAGAGCATTTCGATCCAAGCTTTCAAAGCAGAAAAAAGAGGTCTTGAAAGTACTTGATTTCAGGGTTGCAAAAAATTCTAAAATGCGGACCGTTCACATGATGTGTAGGATGTTTTTACCCCATAGCTAAATTTTTTATTTGTTTCACGGAAAAATATCTGACTGCCCACTCATTCTAGAAGTCAGGAGAAAGAAGAACATAAAGAGTAATCGTTTTCTAAAAACTTCCATTTTGCATCATGTTTGCTGCAGTTACAAGATGAGGCGTTTTTTGCACCCCTGCTTAATTTATGGAGAATTTGTGTAAGTTCATTAAAGTCGTGGAAATTTTAGATTCCCAGTCTAGTTCCAGAGAATTGCAATTTTGTACCTGTATAAATCTCCTTTGCTCACCTCTTTTCTTCTGCTGCCTCATTTTGTAGCTCGAATATTCTTTAGATAGCTAATAGCTAACCTATGGAAGGCAGTGATAGCCGTCGGTAAAAAAAGCATTTTCATTTTCATCTATCTTTTTACTCTAGGTGTTGTCACTACATCATGCCTCTTTTATCAATTCTTTTCATGGTGTTTCAGCCGAAATCAGACGATCCGGCAAACGCAGAAAACGTTCCACTCGCATGTTCGAGTAAATTGCCCTCCGATTCAAAAACAGGCATTAAAGTGGCGAACCTGACTTTGGACAAAAAAGAAAACATTGTCTTAAGTGTTAATCAGCAGAACAAGAAACTGCGTCAGAAGACGTCAAAAATCAATTCCATACTCCAAGTGAGAGCTAAGTGTGCTACAATAAATGCTATTCCAGGTTGGTGTGATTTTTAGTAGCAAGCTCACCTCAGGAGCTGTTCATAAATTGAGTAGTACTCTCAGAGCAAATGTAAGTAAAAGGGTGCGATTTGTGTTATGAAAATTAGGGCAAACACTGGATCAATTAACTATCACGGGTTACAAAATGTTGATGTTGAATTTTTCATGCAATATGGATGTGTGTCCATCATTTGGACCGCGTTAAGCAGAAAAGAACCAAGCCACATCAGCTATTGCCATAATGGTTGTGCGGATTTTTGTGCAAATTTCTATGAATTTTCTCCATAGTACAAAGCAATTTCCTTAAAATTTTCAAAGGAATCCGCACAAATGCTCTCTCGTAAAAAATCAAATTCCCCTGTTAAGTTTGACAATAGCTGATGTGGCTTGGTTCCTCTCTGTTTAACACGGTCCATTTTTAGTTTTTACCCTGAAAGAGTACCTACACCAGCCCTGAACGATTCTGACATGACATTTTTTTTTTCAATTCACCTCAGCATGAGGTCCAAAGAGGTGATCAATTGTTGTGAAAAACATTTCAGGAAGTTCGTACCTGCATTAAAAAGGGGCAAAGAGGCAAAACAATTTAAAGAAACATTATGTATTTTTATGGACAGCTCCTTATGTGTACCCTTCCATTGATGAGAAAAGGCCCTTCAAGTCTTTGTTTTGAGACACAGAGTTACGTTGTTTCTCATTATACAAAACACTCAGCATTCTGCAGCCTTATGGTCATAGATGATTTATAGGGCAAAGATACATGGCCAGGACAATATCAACACTTAAATTAAATTACGATGGACCTTTGAAACAATTTTTCTTAGCCCTCCTTTAACGAATATTCTCCAATATTAGATAACTGTGCACTAAAATTCAAAAACTTTTAAGGAGAAGATAGTATTTTTTTATTTATGTGTAACTTTCCACACGGGAGGGAATCTCATATGACAAAGACAAATATTTGATGAGAGCTTTTAGCATCCAGTTGGATGAAAAAATTGTTCTTGAAGTTCTTGGAAAATACTCCCTTGTATTGCCAAGAGTAAGCAGAGACGTTAAAAGCTGTGAGCATAAAATTACTTTTTAAGTTGTCGATTTTGAAATCTGATTTCGAGATGAAAATGTATAGAGGTTCTCTCTCCAAACTAAGTCTTCTGAACTTCAACCCATCTTAGATCTGGTTCAATTTGACATTTTTTGGCGATTTTTGTGTCGAAAAGTTTATGAAAAATTTCTCTTTGCTGCTTTATATCTCAATTTTTAGTTTTCCAGCCCATGAGATCACTTTTTGTGTAAATGGTCACTTTTATTAGTTTTATTTCTTTAAAACCTAAAATTTGCCAAAAACAGCTTGTGTTCCCGTGATTACGGAATGTATAGGGGTAACCTTCCCTACATTGCAGGCTCTTTAACACTACTTGGCCAAAAATTAACAAATAAAATGAATGAAGTTGGGAAAATCAAATCGTTCTGGTATCAAATGAAGACAAAAATTGTGAACACAAATCATTAATGGGGTAAGTGCCAAAAACTGAAAATCGAGCGAAATGTGGAATATTGTTCCAAGCACCAAGGACAATATCGACAATAGAGAAGTGTGTATAGCATCTGAAAGATAGCATCAGTGGTATGTTTCAAAGCAATGTGAATAACTCGAAATCAATTTTTTGGCACCCAACCCGTTATCTGTGATAAGTCTTTGATGTGGGCATGAACTCTCCGCTTCATAGTCGTTTTTTGTGATAACTTGTTTTGACCCTATTTGATTTTTGTTTGTTTTTTGTGTTTCTTGAGATTGATTTTTCTAATCCTCTTAACACTAGCCTCCTCTGTGTTTTATCACTAGAAGTTTAGATTATACTTTGTGTTTCGCCCAAGATGAAATCCAAAACTTTTCTTCTCAGAACCACTTTTTTTAGAACCCTCTTTTCTACCAGTTACTGTGCGCGCCTTCAAACTTCTTGGGTTTTAAGTAGTAACAATAACTCTACTAAAAATTACAAGCTTGTAATAAAAAAAAACGTGTTTTCTCTCGGTCCAGAAGTTCAAGAACATTTGATCAGGAACATAAAAAATTCCTCAAAATGCGACTATTTTGGAAAATTTTACAATGAACCTCTAATCAAAATATGATATAAAGCTTTATGCAACATGGTATCTGTTCAAAATTTTCTCCAAATGGAAAAATGTCGACAGAGGATGATCCACCGTTTTAGAATCAGTCAAAACCTGCAAAGGAATGGTTTTTTATTCGAATTTGCAGTAGACCATATGTCAAGAAACTTTTTAAAGTATGAGTGATTGCTAAAGTTCAGAAGTTACATTAAGATACATTATTGCCGTTTTTGAAACCCGTAGCTGTGATGAACTTCTTTAAAGTGCCTCTCAATATGTATAAAAAAAATAAAAAATGAATTTTCAGCAGTTTTCATCTGTGTATATTGTGATTTTTTTTTTTTTTGAAGGTTTTTTCGAAAAAATAACATTTTACCAGTGAGTACATTAAAACTCTAATTTTTTTTTTTTTTTTTTACTCCAGGAAGCTCCAAAGGCATAGCAAAACCCAAACCAAGTGTTACAGAAAACGTCATAGTGAAGAAAGGACCAAAAAGGATAAAAATTAGTGAAGACGGGAAAATGAAGTGGGGAAAGCTCGTGGCGTCAACCTCAAAGAGAAAAGACTCCAAATTGGATGAGAATGCTTCATTGCTGTGGAAAAGCACAAGTCGACTTGAAAAGAAGAGCTCAGCAGACGGCAGCAGACGATTCGTAACGCCAGAAAAACGGAGAAAGAAGTCCAAACCCAAATAAACAATGATTTGACGCCGAGTACAGAGAGATTGTCTTTTCAGGTGTCTCTTGCCTTGAGTTGTAAAGTGCTCAAGAGGACAGAATGGGAATAGCTGTTTTTTTACACCTATTTCCATTTTGAATGTCAATTTCTGGAAAACTTTTTCGAAGCTTAGCTCTCGGGACCATTTCATTTTTCACCAATTTTTCCTTTAGTTTCTTCTAACTTTTCAACAAAAGTTTGTCTTATCATAGTCCAAAATATCAAGATGCATCATGAAACTGCCTTGACTTGAAACTCCCTCAAAGCCTCTAACATGCACTGTAATCTCTATTTCGATGATGAAACTGCAAAAACGCGTATTTTGGTTGTAGTGTTCTACAATTTCCACGTCCATTTAATCATTTAGAAAGAGATAAAACGAACATTATGGCTTGAAATTTTCATAGCGTGTCCTGCCATTAGAGAAAAAAAATCACCGAGATTTTGAAAAAGTGATGTTTCTGACATTACTTAGTTCTATAACTACTCAGTAATGAAACTGAGTCGTTTCCTGCAAAGAAAATGAAGTATGACAGGAAATCTGCCATGTTCAAACCAAAATATGAGTTTCTGCAGTTTCACCATTGATTCACTCAAGGATTTCCAGTATGTCCTTTGATTTCTCAAAACTTTTCAAAAACAGTACGAAAGGCCAGAATTTTGGGATGCAATGTGAGACTGCCTTGACTTAAAACCTCCTTCGAAGCCTCTGTGCTCTGAAATCCCTACATTTACAGTGATTTCAAGTCAAAAAAATTCAGAAGTGCATCTTAAGATTTTGGCTTTGTCTTTTTATCTTGTTCGGCCAGTCAAACAGCATCAAATCACTGAAGTTGATTTCAAAGTGGTCAAAAATTAAATGTACATGCACTCTTACTATAACGGAACAAAAACTGCTCTAGTGCTGCTTTTGCCTCTCCTGTAAGTTACGTCTGTAGGATTCTCTGAAAAATTAATTAGCATTTATCCATCTGAAATAGCAGTGAGGATGGTCCCACCAAGTATAATAAACATTTAAGCACCGTATTAGTAACTATGTCACCGAAAAAATTTGAAACAATTTTCAAAATCTTGCTTGGATCTGGAAAATATTCCTACCGGTACTTTTATCTGTATGGTCCGTAAGAAATTGAGATGTTACGGTCACTTCTTTATAGTTTAAAATGTTGCTGTATACACTAACGTAAGATTTTTTGACGCAGCAGATTATTGAATTGCTTTTTTTCTGCACTTAATTTTTATCGTGCTTGAGATCATCAGAGAAATATGTAGTCTGTAAGAGTAAAAATGTGGCTTTCGCTATTAGTACAATTTGGAAAAGGTGCCAAAACGTTCTCACTAATTCGTGTTTTTTAGTATGGTGACTTTTGAGAGAAACAAGAAGCCTAGGTATTCTTGTACCTACTTGTTCAAGGTAGCCACCATTAGTGTAAATTGACTCCTCTTGAAGAAACGGAAAACAGTGGCTGCTAGGTTTTTTAAAATTAATTTAAAATTTCAGGTAATAACACTATTGTTTCAATTTAATTTTCCTCATTTGTGTTTAACGTATCCTGTTCAATCTACCAGCAAAACCCGTTTTTCGTATTTTTTGTGCACAGTTTATCGTAGCTGCTGATCAATATCCTTCTATCCTTTTTCTCCATTTATCATCGGTGTGGTGTCACTGTCCACCCTCTCTCAGTATTTTTAGAGCTATGCAAATCGGAAATTTTTTAAAAGTGAGATGTGAGTTCTATAGTGTGTAAAACTGTTTAGTCCCTGTTGCCCTATTTTCGAAAATCGTTTTATAACCTTTACTTCTATTCTGCCATTCTTTTTCTCTCATTCTGTGCACCAATAACCTTGCACGTTTGTGGGTTGCAAAATGAGCTGTTAGGGTCACCATGGCTATAAAAATCGGCTAAGCTGCAAAGAGCCATTGATCAATCATTCGGCGTGTTGTTAGACGTGTAGACAAGAAAAGGCATCTTTAGTTCATGTTTAAACTGAAAAGTAACCGTTCGCTTTAGGTCTTTTTGAGAAAAGAAAAATCTGAGGCATTGTTCAATTTGAAAGCCGAAATCATGATACGTATGAAGTAACCTTGATAAAGAAGACCTGCAGTCTCACTGTTTTTGGAGAAGGAGGATATGGAAAGATTTTCTCTGTTTTATGTGATGTGACTTTTTCCTCACCTCTTTATTTTTCTGTGTATTTCATATTATTTGCTTGGAAAGCGAAGACATTCGTCATCCATGCTATTTTAAATACATGATATCGTATTAATAAGTTGCAATCACTGCAACAGACTATCACCTACTTTTTATCATCAAATTTGACTGTTCCCTTTTTCTATTTCTACTGCCCACCTTTCATTCGAATGTTCTGAAAAATGAATCGAAATTTTTTTACATCCATTGACTTGAAGAAAAACCAATTTTGTTTTAGTATGTGCTTATTTTGCCAGTTTTTGTTCGTGTCCCTAAATTTTATCCCTTGTTTCTTGTTTTTCCAGAATTCTGTTCTTTTATTTCGAGAATGATCTTGTTGTTTATTCAAAGATTTATTTATACCCATTTCGCAATTTATTTAGCTAATTTAGTTTATTCGTCTCTCAGTATTGTAAAATCAGGTTTGATCCAGACAGTATAAAATTATCAATACGATTATCTCAACTCTCGACCAAACTCTGAGCTCTCGATTTCCTAATATTTCATGTTACCTTTTTACTGTATTGCCGTATCATAGTCACATTTTTTATATCTGCAGTAGTGCACAATATTTTAGTCTTTAAACCAATTTTTACAGGCTTCTGTAAAAAAATCTAGAATGGTGAAAAACCTAACCTACTAAATGCAAGTATTATGACTTAAAAACATGCATACTCTTACACTGTCACATCTTAGTTTAGAATTGTTATGGATGAATAATCACTTTAGTGAAAAAATGTGAGAAGTTGTATTTTTGCAACAAAAAAGGAAAAAAAACAACTGACTTCCAAACTTGCTCAACAAAGCTTTGTCCACTCTCCTAATATTGTGCACATCTGCCATCATTCTTACTAAAAAATGTTTGTAAAATTTCTTGCCAGTTAAGAGAATATATACATGATAAGTTAAACTTTAAAAACGTGCATCTCCATTCGCTCTGTTCCGACTTTCTCTGCATACTTTATTTTTAACAGGAAAATTGTTCAACATGATTTCCCAAAAAGTGCCGCAGTTTGGTTTCTTGGTAAAAATGATTTTTTGAGAAATGCATTAGACAAAATTATTAAAAATCGAAAAACGAATATTTTCTTTACTTTTAAAAAATAGTATAGGATAGAAAGTTTTGGAATGCTGCGTTGGAAGTATACGTTTTCAGAGCATTACGATTGTGGTTTTGTCGATTAATTCGATTATTATTTTTCACAGAAAAATCTGTGAAATCTTCTCGCAGAAAAATCTGTGAAATCTTTTCACAGAAAAATCTGTGAAATCTTTTCACAGAAAAATCTGTGAAATCTTTTCACAGACTGGAAAAGCTATTTTGTAAACTTATCTGATAGAGCATTTGGCTCTAAAAATGTTTTTCAGTAATTTTTCCCAGTACTGAAACAAAGTAAAAGTAGTACCTAATTTTCCAAAGACTCAAATTATTTTGATTTTGGAATTAGCAAACTGATCAAAATGAAGCTTCCTGACAAAACTGCCAGTATGATCAAATCCCACCCGTCACTGCCCTTAATTATATTCACTCTCTACTGTAAGTCTCATCATTGGTGCTTATACCCGATAATGTAGTCTACATTTTGATCCTATTACTGATCTGATAATTTCTTTCTAATGTATTTTATTCATTATTTTTCTCTCTTTTCTTCTTAGTATTGGAGTAACTCAGTAATGATAATACAGTAAAACCTCGATTACCTGATAGATTGAGGCAGAAGCTTCGGCCCGCGGCCCAAAACGCCAGATAATAAAAAATGCATAGAAAGAGCTAAAACCACATAAAGTATGCATGGAGAAATCGAAGAAAACTTCAAAAAACTTTGAAGATTCTTGCTTTAGACAAGCAATGAACGAATAATCGAGGTATTTCTGTAGTTGCAAAACCATTAAAAATCTTAATTATTATGTATCAGGGTGTCTAAAGGTCAAGAAAAAAGTTAAGAAAGTCCTGTTTGCTTCAAAAATCCTGATAAATAACTTAGAAAACTTAGATAACTTCAAAAGCATAGAATTGAGCTTCTCATACCAGAGCACAAAGAAGTGTTTTCCGAACTTTTTAGACCCTAAAATTTTCAAAACTATCAATGCAAACCGGAGTTATTAAGTTCTGCTAAGTATGATTTGAAGTTCCTAGTTGTGAAAGTGTTGTTTCAAGAAAAAGCTGTTTAGAATTGTAATCTGCCATGTTCAGGGCATTAATTTAATGGATTAACTCTCTACAGACACAAATAGAAACTCATCTCATTGTAATTGTCTGTTTAGAACCTTAGAGACAGTTTTCTAAGGAAATCTCAAATTCTGATTTTTTGACCAAAGTTAACAAAAAAGGCTCTACAGAAAATTTTCCCTCCTTATGCGAAAGTCCCTTTTTCTGTGGATGGAAAAATGCTCGTCGGCAAGATTCTAGAAAATATTTTAAAAGAGATTCTAGGAAATCGAAATATGTCTTTACACCAAAGAATTAACGATTGGGCCCCTCTTGAATTAATTTTTCTCAACCCTCCTGTAATTGAGGACACCGCACCAAGAACAACCTATAGGCGTATAGGTCGTTATTACGCCAATCTGCTTTTCGGATTCTACGTACCCTGGACTATGCTGTGGTAGCGATAGAATATAGATAGGTAACGTCTCGAGGTCGAAAAACCTTTTTTTTCCGAGGCAAGTCAGGCCTCTGGATCGATGGGTGCAAGAACGACCTATACGCGCGGCCTTATCATTCTCGGTTAGCGGGCATCGGCGCGGCGCGGCGATAGTGATGGCTCGATTTTTTGATCTCATTTTATAAAGATTTGTTTTTATTTCAGAAAAACGAGCTATTGAAATAATTTATTCTCCTCTCAAACTATCCTTTCCTCCAAAAATGTATACTTCGCATTTTGCCACCAAAATGACTGTTGGGCGTAATACGGGCCTATAAATTTAAGGGCCTATAATGTGCTAGTTACCCCTCTCTATACTCACCATCGATATTCTTTTATTTTGCGTTAATCATGCGTGATTAAAATGATTTATACTGCATATTGCCACCAAAATGACTGTTGGACGTAATAACGACCTATAAACCGCTTTTTTAAATTAACTATATTAGAGTGTAAACCCAAAATGTATCGCAAAATCTACCCGGCATCCTTCAGTAGAAGGGTTAGGTCACCCAAAAACACCAAAACAGGGTACCTGCATAGAAAAGTCTGCGCAGTACATCAAAAACAAAACTTTAAATGCGTTTTTCTCAAAACGCGGTTTCCAGTTATAGGTTGTTCTTGGTGCAATGTCCTCAATTGTTATCCTACAACAACAGATAATTTTGCTCCGTCTATTTTACAGACAAGTATCAAGTCCTCAAGGAGTTTATGTCTACTATTTTTTTTATGTCTGTTGAAAGCAACAACCATTCTCCCCGAGTCACAAAAGCTGCTTCAATGATAAATAGATCGGACTGACTCAATAAAATTGGCTGTTTGACCAAATGAAAAGTTACTCACAGGTGTAAATTTTCTCTCCATGTAGTTCTTTAGACACCCTATAACATGTTCTTTCAATTTTTATTCTGACAAGCACCCAATAGTTTTCTCATTACTCCCCGTATTATGTACCAAATATGTATGTCGATTACCTGTCCATTTCAGATCCTTTTATCATTGCCCAAGTGACAATACCAAGTTCACTCCTGAAATACATTTGACCCGAACGGTGCTGTTTTAGATTACTTCAAAGATTAAACATTGTTTTCTCCTAAAATTTTATTTAACTCAGACCAAAAAATTTTTGTTCCATTTTATTTATTCACTCTCTTGTTTTGTCTACGTATATTTCTTCATTTGTATTTCCATAGGTTTTTCATAAAGTTTACTCAGTGTTAACCAGTGTGTTTTTATTTGCCTCCCTTTCAACCCATCTGAAGGATCGAATGATCCTGATGCTAGGGAATAGCATCAGGCTCAGGAAAATATCAGAAAAATCCAAGTTGAAGGAAAATATTGCGAAGTCGATTTTTCATCATGATGAAAATGGATCGAGTTTTCAACCAGAAAAATGGGAATATTTCGTAAACCGTTGGTCGTAGACGTAGAGCCAAACGGACGAAATTTTCCGGCACCTCTAAGCCCCAGAAACTTCTTCGGCAACTCTGATCGGGCTGGTACCTGGCTAGTCCCTTTGGAAATGACCCGTGGAGTCCGATTTTTTGGTTCCGAAAGCACCATGAGTCCGCTGGACCGCATGATCGGCAAATAAGGCATGATGCTCTAACAGCTGTTTAGATATTTGTTTGCACATTTGTTTTCAAAATTATGACCGCCTGTAGTCCATTTTTAGAGGTATATATAAATGGGACCCTCAGTAAAAAAATCAAGTTTTGTCAAGTACTTACCATTCCTTTCTCGTTACAATAAGACAAGGAATTTTCAATATCCCAATCTGAAAAAGGAATTTTTCCCCTTTTTAATGTAATACTTACTATTGAAAAGCTGGTAGTAAAATGATGGTTTTATTTCTTGAAATTTGCTTAATGATAGTGAAAACATTGATTTTTATTGCAATGATATCAAGGTCATAGATTGCCATTTATGGAATTTTTCGATCATGCCTATGGCAGTTGCTACGACATTAACTAAAGAGCACAACATCTCCTTAAATATGGGGCTTGGAGGACAAGGCGCAGAAGTGCAGTTTTTGCTATTTCGAATAATACGGTTTTGATGTTTCGAAACTACATGAATCCTCATGGTGGAAAGAAAGTTCGAACAGACTTTTTGATGCTTAAAAATTTGGATTTGGGAACGAATTTTCCACAGAATGTGCATTAAGACTCGTTTTACTTGAAATCATTAATACCTCAATTTTTTCTGAAACTGCACTTGTGCGCCTTGTCCTCCAAGCCCCTCGAATCTGCTCGTTACGGGATGAAAGGTACAATTAAGGTGTTAGGTGTGAGCAGGGTACTTCCCGGTAGCCGTTGTTAGGAGTTTTCAGTAATCTTTCGTTCATTATAAAAAGGAGGGTGAATGCTTCGTTTTATAGAACTTTTTACTGAATATTCTTCATGATTCTACAGTGTTTTATGGAGCAAATTCCAGAAAAACGATCCATTACGTTAGACGTATTTTGTTTGCTGTAACAATTTTTTTCTGTTACAGATTTTGAGTTTCTTGTGTCACTTCTTCACAACCAATGAGAGCAGAGAAGCTCAAACAGAGGTTTTAGAGACCTATTAAAAGTTGTTACATTTTGCCGCCACAAGCTCTTAGAACGGTACGATTGTTCTGCAACAAGGTTGCGATACCGCTGCCAGATTGTACAAAGGATGAAACTAATAAAGAGTAGGCCACGCCCCATTGACAAAAACTAATTTCAAACAAAATACGATTAATACAAGCACTTTCGAGTAGTTACAGCGAACCTAATACGTCTAATCTTCTCTTAAACAGAAATTGGCAACGGAGATTCTGAAATACCACAACCGAGAAGTGATCTTCTTGCACCAGCACCTCAGTTTAGAAACTCACAAAATCCAAAGTTTTGATTTATACAAACAGTCAGAGAGCTGTGTATGTTTTATTATGAAAAAAAGAAGGAAAAAAGCGATTTCAAAATAAGAATAAAAAACAAAAATCTAGTGCTACGAACTGTCCGTCAATAACAATAATTCAACAAAAAACTTTCAGTTAAATGCAAAAAATATTTTCTCTTACAGTAACAAACTATATTTTGTGCACTTGAACAGACCTTGTCAAAAAGAGGATGACAGATAATTAACAAATCTGCTGTCTTACAGAAGCGATCCGTAAGTGCATTCTGTATGAGCTAAAGTTGGCTCATGTTCTTACAGGTTTCAAGACGTACCCCAGAATACACTTACGGCTCTTTTTCGTGACACGGAAGAAATCATTCGCAAGGTTTTGTAGTGGGATTCAAGCATACGAATCCTTCTATAAAACTATCACTGCAAACAAAATGAATGAATGCATCCTTATGAGATAAAAGATTTATAAAAGAACTCCAAAATAATTAAAAAAAGACTTTCCGAGAAAGGACTATGCACAGAATACCTGGAGAGGCGCCCACTAAATTTTAATGTTACTTAAAATTATGTTCCTTACAACCTCCTGGTAAGTTCCTTTTAAGATACAGATATTTTCAGAGTCATTCTACCAGTGTAATTGATACACTTTAATGATGTTATTTTTCTTAAAAACTAAATAAATATATACTAATTTTTACTTGACAAGTTAATGTTATTTTTTAAACTAAATCTTTATCAATTTAATAAATTCCAATGATTGACATGACCTCAAAAGTGAACGTTTACCAACTTAAATTGCTAAACTTAGCCTGAAATTACTTTCCAGTAATTCTACTTTGTTACGACTTGCTTTAATGTATTTAGGAATGACGGGCCATTTATACTTTATTTCATTTTTAATTTTATCTCATGATGAGTTTTAGAAATTGAACTTTCCGTGTGTCAATGTCCAGAAAGTCAGCGTCGAAAAGAGCATTTTTCATCCTACTAACTTGAGTTCTCTAGTGGAGATGTGGGACTTTTGTCATGTGCGTTTGGATGCTTTGCCACAAGCTTTTATCATTTGGAGGAAGTAAGGAAACAAAAGCTCTCCACAATCACTAATTAGATATTACATTTCTACTGGATAATGAGTTTTAAAAGGCTTAAAAATTCATTTTCCATCCCTGCTTCTCTGGAGATTGACACGCAAAAAGTTTGATTCTAAGAGCTCATTGTCCTCAGGCGGTCATAAGGAACACTATAACAAATAATATCGAGATTTCGTCATCGCCAAATTTTTTGGCATTCTGTGCGTAGCCATTTCTAAGTTTCTTCATTCGAATTTTTTAAATAATTTTATTTCCAATTTGATCTAGTGCTTTTCAATATTTCTCGGAAAAATATCTACTGCTACAGTCAAAAATAAATCGTTTATAGAAAGAGTTGCGCAACATTCAAATGTTCAAATGGGGTATTTCCTCAGATCAGTAGAGCACTTGAACATTCAATTTTGCCTGATTCATACTCTTACCTCCAACCCTAAAATTGAATCCACACTTTAAATAGATAGGTTCAATCTTAAAGTTCCAAATATTGATAGACACATTGAAGGCTAAGGAACTATACCGCCTGACTGACAATAATGGCGAAAATGACTTAGCGACGGTGCCGCTTTCTGGGGTATAAAATATGCAAATTAGTGTCTTTGGTTTTTTCAATTCCGAATATGGGCGCTATAATGTTAAAAAATACTTTCTCTACCCTAGGGTAGCGAGAAAGTAAAAATTGCAAATCTAACCTTAAAATTACAAGAATGATGAAGTTTTTTCTTCGTCTTGCACAATCTTTCAAGGGCAAGTTTCAAATTTGCAGATAGGTGGTAATGTTCCTTAGCCATCGATAAATATTTTGTATGAATGCATCCAAGGGACAAATACAGCAATTGAAGTTGGACTACATTTTGCAATTAGTAACAACATACTATTATTGGCTTATTTTAGAAAGAACATGTGTGCCATAAGTTCCTCTATACAGATAATTGTCTTTGTAAATTAGCCAAAGATAACAACTCTTTATTGCTATAAGATAAGCATGTGGTAAACAACAATGGCACGCTAAGTTGTCCTTGATGATCACAATGGAGGAAGGATATCATGCATCGCATATTTCCAGGTCCAAGTCCTGGCTATGTCCTCAAATACTTCTCGATTATTTAGGTACAACTTACCTATGTCAGATTCCATACAAACCTGCAACCAATACAAGAACCATTAGGAGATGAATAAGGAACCATGAGGTCTTGCATTCACAAGACGTTTTCTTTAGATTTGTTCGGAAATGCTCCTGTTTGTTAAATTTAAATAATTTGTTTGATTGCTAGTTATGTACAATTATTATCTTAGTCCTGAATAAACCCCAGTTTTTACTAATTTATCTTCCTGTGCAAACTTGTCATGGGAATGAGAGAACTACACCCATGGAGACGGTAACTTCAAAAAATCCCTGAAGTTTCACCCCTGGGATTTGACCCAGGAATTCTATGCAATTATCTCATAAGGATAAGGCTAAGATCACCAAAAGATGACACGCAGCACCCGTGGAACACTCCGTATATTATGATGGAAAGTAAAGTGACGACAGCCTAATGAGCAAAGGGTGTTCATGAAAACTGTCAGCTTTGCTGTTATGACTTTTATTGAAACGATTATTAACATTAGCGGTATGGTAATGCAAACCAGAGCTCACCAAATAGTGAGGGATGTTGTCACAGTACTTGAAATATTAGTCAGTAATGCTTTTACACTGTTCTGTGATCATTTGAACTTCACTTGTGTTTGCACTTGGTTAGTTCTGCAGCTGTGGAATAGCTGCTAGTACCCGGGCTCACATCACAGCAGGGATAATTGAGTTTCTGGCCATAAAAAAAACTGGTGCCTACCCATCTAAAAGTCCAAATCTGACTCTTTATGACTTTTTCCTACATTCTTAAGCCAAAAACCATTGTAAGAAATGAACTTGACTCCAAAATTGCAGTAGTGAAAGCTCTGTCAGTAATTCTTAAACAGCTGGCAGAGGGTGGTTTTGAGCACAAGTTTAGAGGGTGGCAAAATCGTTTAAAAAATTATTGCACCTCAAAAAGATTAAATTTCAAGTCCAAAAGTAGAAATTGACGGAATTTTGTAAAACTACTGGTTAAATATTTTTCACACATTTTTCAACAAAATTATTTATATACTTCCAAATATCTTTATCAAACACCAGTTTTTCCACTTCCAGCTAGTATAAAATCTTAAGAAAAAATAAAAGCCAAAAAATAAAATTTAAGTAGATGACCAAAGACATACCTGACAAAATGGATCAGTCAACAAGGATTGGACAGATATTAGAACTTTGCTAAGGGTCAACGCTAAACTCCAATTGTGAGTGATGGAATCTAAACCGACATCACCATGCCTTGAAATATTTGGATGAAATATCTTCGTTAGAAATCTGACGATTGGTGGACTCATTGGATAACTGAAAGCAACGGAAACCATTATTGATTTATTTAAACATTGGACAATAGTGCAAAGTGTAAGAGACTATTAAAGAGAAGGCTCTAGTGTTAAATTTCGATTTTGCCCTGACTTGCCCCAATAAAACGAATGGTTGAAGGGAGTGAGCCGCTTGCTTTACAAAAAATTTGAAAGTTTATCTAAAAGACATTGGGGCACTCTTTTTGCTAGGCAAAAGCAACATTAAGCACTCCTTAATGCACTCAATGCTATGATACAAATGATTCCATTCATAGTTTTTTTGGTGTGAAGAACCCTTTTCCTACCGACGGACACATTTGCACAAATCAAAAAGAAAACAACTCTCATTTACAGCCCATGCTAAAAAATGCTAAATGAGATAGCTTACCCATATGGCACTAGAACATAAAGATAAAATATTCCTCCTTCATAAGGACTGCCAACAGGTCCAGTGATAGTTGCTTGCCAATGACAGTAATTTGAATCCAATGGCATGGCCTCTATTCCTTCTGGCGGTTCTGAAGTCAAAGCTGCGGAAAGAATGCAAATAATTAATTATCATGAAAGGATCAATAATTATTGACTTGACTCTCAGAAATCCTGAAAATGATTGAGTATTGAGCGCATTTGAACAGAACACTGGAGGTTTTAAAAAAAAGACACATGGGTGGTTTCGCGATAAATGGAATAGTTTTATCGCCGTAACAGACAACACATTTTTCGGTCATACTTTTAGTAGTAATGATAATCACTCGAATTTTTTTGCATTAATCTACACAGGGTAACGTGTTAAAACGATTTCAAAGATTTATCGCTCTACTTCTCAATTTTAATACATAAATGCCAAATGGCCGAAAATGTGCTGTCTGTTACACTGACTTTTTACCACGTAACAGACAGCACATTTTCGGAATTCACATAATATTAATTGAGAAGTAGAGCAATAAATCATTAGAAAGCGTTATAATACGTAACTTTTTGAAGATCAATGCAAAAAAATTCGAGTAATTATCATTTCTACTAGAAATATGACCGTAAAATGTGTTGTCTCTTACGGCGACAAAACAGTTCCAGTTATCGTGAAACCACCCTCATAAGCAACAGCTTAGAACTGTCAATTGCGACATTTAATTCTGTGATTAGTCTCTTCAAGAAAGTCTGATTTTGACTTCCCTTGCAATTTTGAGCGATTCTTTTTAGAGTGAATGATGAAAATTCGTAGAGAATTTCAATTGAAAATATTGGTTGGTTTGGCTTTCAAAAAATAAAACATGAACGTTGCAACTTTCCAATCTGAGATACACTTTTTCCAACTTTGGCCACTGATATATTCAGATTAAGAAGCAAACAAGATTGGAAAAGACAAAGAAATATATTGCAGCAAGCGCAGCGTAAAACCTTTGGGAAAAACCACTCCAGATTTTACTATAAGTCCTCCATAAGTTAGGGGTTTTTAACTGCCTTGCAGATGAACTACTTTCATGTGCAGTAATTCTCAACTGGAGCTGCATTACAATCTCTAAAATAACAACTTAATCCAAGGAAAAACTGCTGCTAAGTATTAAAGGTCCGAGATAGAAAATCTGGACTTTTTGGGAGTAATAAACTCATGTTCAACCAAGAACAAGAAAATTTTAGTTGCTGATCACATCAAAATCATGGCATGTAGTCACCAAAATTATCTGAAAGTTCATTACAAGCTTTGATTTTGCTGTAACGCTCAGTCTGTTTACATCGTAATCCGTCTCGGTCACCCGATAGCAGCAAATCAATGACTCATTATTTCTTTCTTTTTCCCTTTAAAATAAATTTGAAACTATATCAAAACGCCATGGTTTTTTTCTTTCTTAGTACTTGTCTTTGATCATGTATATTTTGAAGCAGCCTTTCCCTGGATGAAGTTTTTATGTAGTTTCCTGAGTTTTCTGATAGCGATTCAACGGTCTAGGTGCAGGGAATGTGAATTTACAACTGTCTCGCTAGAGATTATTGCAATTTCCACATGCTTAAAGGTTCTCTTACATCTTTCGTGTTTTGCAAAAAAAAAAAAAAAAAAAAAATGCAATTTTAGCAGGATCCAATTCCTCAGACCTAGGTAGGTGATATTCTGAGGAGGACTCACTTTACTGAGAATATTGGATTATGACAGGTTTCTCCAAGGGCATGGAAGTCTTGAGCTCTCTCTATGTTGCTAAAAACTTTACTGAGATGTTCTTCAATAGGAATTCATCAGTAAAATCAAAGAGCTTTAAATTTTATAGACAGGCACATTTTGAAATCAACAACCTTACAAGCTTCAGTATAGCAACATTTGAAGACTTTTGATATTGCAGATGAGCCTCTAAAAATTTCATGATTTCTTTCATTAAGAGCGAGAAAGCTGTACTTATTGCTAGGTACTTACAGCTCAAGCCACATTACAACTCAAAGAGACGATCCCCATTGAAAATAAAATTCCCTATAAAAATTACCGATGGCTTATGTTTATAAAATGAAAATTTTAACGCATACTTTTAAGTTCATTCCGTAACCTGTTACTCCTCCATGTATTTTCCTCATCCCGCATTTGTGGTTGTAGTGAAAGTTGAAGACACGTCTTGCACGGACAACTTTGCATACTGAAAAAGAGAATAAGTTTTGTTGGTTTATTGTACATTCGTCATAGGAAGACATCAGAAACAAGACAGAGAAAAAATAAGATGAAGTTGTAGAGTTGAGAAATAGAGTTACAGTTGGCAAAATATTAATTTCTCTTGGGTTATCTTTCGGATAAACTTTATGATAAGTAAAGTGAACGGAGTGCGGAAGAAGCTCGTAAACACATTGATACCAAACTAAATTACTAAATTTATTTTTCACATTACCTCTCTTAGAAAAAATCATGATGCCACAAATAAATATATGCCACATACCTTCAGTACAGTTTTATGAGTGATGAGTTAGTTTTTTCTTAAATTACTGAAATGATAGAGCTCCCAGTAATATATTCAGAATTTTTGGACTCAAAATGCAGAGAAAGTTCATTTTAAAATCAAGAAAATCAGGACTTGTTTGAAATGATACTTTTAACCCTCCTCATGTCCTAAGCAGATGAGGGAGTCCGCATCTGCTGATTGGCTGTAGCTCAGCCCAAGACCTGGCCTAGTTATGTCACACTGACTGTCGGCCTTTGATTGGTCAGATTTGAATCAGCTTTCTTCTTCCCTCCTTGCGAAGGGCTTTTCTAAAATTTTTATCGGACTTTTAGGAATATAAATTAAATTTAATAAAGTAACAACTCTCAGCTACTATGCAGAAATGTTGTCACTGATCCATGGGTTATTAGATAAAAAATTGAAATCTAGGTAATTGTCGAAACTCCGTGGAAAATAAGGAAAAAATGGATGTCACTTACAACTGTGAATACACTTGGAACCAGTCATAGATGTTACAAATTGGTTTATAGAGGGGAAACCGACGTTTGACATAAGTTTTCCAAGATTCTAGAGGCACGTGAGATCGGAGCAAATTATGCCACCTTTTGCATACAAATCCAACTGACCACAAAGACATGTCATCCAGAAAGGAGAAAACAGCTAACAAAACTGTTCAAAAACATACAAATAAAAATTAATTTCTACAAAAGAGAAAGGTGTAAAAGTTAATAACGGAAATTTTTATTCTTAAAAGTTTTAAGCAAGTTTACAAAGATGGAATACATTCAACAAATGACAAGCACTTTATACCGACACAGCTGCTTCAAAAGAAATTCTTCTACAGCAAAACATTTAATGAGTGCTGAATGGCAGGAAAGAAAATTTTAATAAGAACTTCACAGATGGTAAGTGCAAACCATCAATTGACAACGTTCACAAAGAAATTTGAAAGTCTCAACTTTCAAGCTATGTTTACAGTATTGATAGCCCTTCAACAGATAGCATTAAATTTATGTTACTACAGCAATAATTAGAGCCTTAGTACAATTTACTATAAATCGTACAACTGTGAACTTGGCAAAATTTATGACATGATGTACAGGCTTTTGCTTTCAGAAACTACCCTGCTATCCGGCTTCTTGTGGCATTAAGTGAGGCCTGAATCAATAATTTTCCGTGTTTAAATGAGACAGGATAAATTGAACGTGTTTCTATCAAACGGACCTAAGTGCCATAGGGGGAGGAGGGGAGACAGAGGTTTGGATTGGCGGGTGTTGCGGAATGCGATGCTTGTTCCATCCTATACTTGCAATGCTTTTCCATGGCACTTACTTCCGTTTGACAGAACGCGCTATTAAGGATTCTAAAATCCTTAAAAGGAACTCAATTTGGCGCTTCGTTCTGTTTAACAGAAATACGTACAATTGAATAAATCGTGACAGAAGATCAGACCAACAATATTTTAGATAAAATTCAATATTACACACACAATGGAACAATATTTTTGAAATGTTAAAAAACTGCTAGCTTCGCAATGTACTTGCAAAGGAAGACTGTAAATATTGGGCTTTGATGGTTAGTGCCCTGATTTGAAGAGCAGTGTGTTTTTGATGGATTTGGGGTGGAGAAAATCTCCGAAAATGACATGCTCGAAGGTGAGAGCTTACATATGGGGAGGTCCTAATTGGCGGATTATTTTTTTTCAGAGCAAATCATGGTTGTCGGTGAAATGAAGATCCACTCTGAAGAGGATGTTAGCAAAGATACGTACCTAGTTGAGTAATTCTTAGAGTTTTCCTACAACAACACTATTGCTTCATTTCTTCATAACTATCCACTGACTGATGGAAATAATTATCAGCCAGAATCAGAAGGTTAAGGAATTTTTGGTACCCATAAATAGAGCAGTTATCCATGAATAACTGTTGAGCTCGCTCGACTTGAAGTTTCAATCAAACCAAAAATTTAAAGCAACTTGGGAGGAGAACACTCACCTTCAGATGGTAAACATTCTACGAGGTGAGAGGAAAGATTGTCCGACGGACGGGGAGTGCTAAGTTGATTCAGGCGTTCGACTAAATTTGGAGGCTGTTCCGGTACTGGATAACCAGACTGATTGGACGATCTCCTCTCATAATACCCGTCAGTTGGCTCATCGTTACCAGAGTCCCCATCATCAGTTTTTTCACTGTTAATTGGTAGTGTTGTGTGCGGACGGCTCACCTCATCGGAAAACAGGAATAAGTGACAGGTCCCACAAACCGGTTCATCAAATGAGGGTTCGTAGTATCCATTGCAGTAATAGCATGATGTATGCTGAGGAATAAATGAAATAACATAGAGTAAACCTAAAGGACATGATTGAAGAGTGCTTAGTGAGTGACGGCATTGCATTGAGAAAAAGAATGGACTAAAACTAAACGAATGGAGTTTCTTGCTCATGTTAGAGCCAGATAGTGAAAAAATCATCACTTTTAATTGCACAACCTGCACAACCCATAACAGAGGGACATAATTTTACAATAGAGCCATAGAAAAAAGACAAAACGGACTAAAGACCATTGAGGCATTTCTTGGTAAAGGAGCGTATGAGCTGCTAAGTTTGTGCGACATAGTTTTTAGCTGTAGACGACTTATCCGACAGTTCTACTATGAATTTTTTCCTGAATTTGTTTGGAGTTTTTGCTCACTATTGTGAGAAAGTAAACCGACTATGAGTGAATTCATCTGCCACAACATGGTAAAAAATTATTTTGGCGGAAATGCAGGGCCTCATACGCCCTTTTACCAAAAAAGTCCTCAATTGCTCGGCATCAGCTTCCTGGGGTTTCGCTCATATTTCTTGCCTTAATCTATCGAGGCATATGAAGAATAGTGGTCGCATTTTGATTTTGGCTGCCATCTCAAAGCGTTGTGACGTTAGAAGGGTACGGATTTTGCCGTGCAATCCGAGGTTGAGGCCCCCCCCCCTCCCCTCCGACCCATGTACCTGATACCGTGTGACGTCCAGAGGGTACGAAATGCAACCACCATTCTTTATCCGCCTTGTTTTTTGATTACTTAAGTGATGCCAAGTCCTCACTAAAATTTGTAGCAATACTAGTGGCTACTTCTATTAGTCTTTGACAGATTTTTTCTAACCATAGAAAAGCAGCGAATTAACAATAGTCCCTGAAGAGTTTGGTCAGGAACTCTTGAAACAATACATTTTCTGAAGTTGTAGCAGTTCTGAGAACACACAGTATTACAGGTGTCGTCAGATAAGTTGTCCATTGTTTACTTTCAGTTTGCAAGCTCAGACAACAAATTCAGGCCTCTGCACAGCCCGTTCTTTGCTGCTATTCATCTTGAAAATGTCTGTCTCATCATCCTTTCATAATGAAACTTCTTGTCGGTTATAATCCGCAACTTTTTTGTGGTTGTGATTTCAGTGTGGCCACAATTTGAAGTATTACAAGGTTTGAAGGTATTAAAAAGCCTATCAAAGCTTGTGTTCTGATTGTGTTTGTGCTTCTGGAAGAAACAGATGTTTTGGTGTAGATAGTAGTGATGCGAAAACACCTGCAAACCGAGAGTAAACAATGGCCAACTTATCTGACAACACCTGTATCAGAATACAATGCTTAAGTCACAGGTATTTGACCCACAGTTATGTGATGGACTGCACACGAGTACTTACTGAATATGAAAATTCTTCGTTATACTGTGATGGCCCTGGTTCTGGCACATGATCACCTTCATCAAATTTTTCAGGATCGTTGGAATCTTCAGTTTTGTCCTCAGTGTTATTTTGATCATGTTCGTTCTGCTCCTCAAGATCATGCAAATGATTGCAGTTGGTGGCAATATGGGAAACAGAGCCGTTTATGTTGCTGCTCAGAGCATTCTCACCCCCATTTTCAACGACAGGAGAGTCATTCAGATCATCCGCAGCGCTTGCTTGATGGTTAACGCTCATCTTGAAGAAGCATTTGTGATTCTAATGCACTTAATGATTTTAAAATTGGCACCATGAAACTGGGGTTAAAGTTATTGAAGAATTAATTTCCACATGATTTAGAGTTTAAGTAACCTTCCAAGAGCTTTCAAGTGATGATAACTCTTAAGTTATAGAAAGGGTTGAAAGATCGAAACTGATCAAAATGAAATGAGTAGATGTTCAAAAAAATCTTGAAAACAACAACACGTAGCTAGAAAAAGAGTAATTCTTTGAGGACGATGTAGTTCTTCTTTTTTCAACACAAACTTCGTCATTTCATAGAATAATAAAGCTAACGCCTATAGAAGAGTCACTCGCGTAAGTGGCCGTTGTGACTCTCGCCTGCTGTGTCCAGGTTTGGTTAGGTCCCGTTGCCCTATACTTTTCTGAACCCGCCAGCTCTTTGCAAGGTTGTCAAATGTAATAGTAGGGCCCAGCAAATTGCAGGGTTGCGAAATGTAGTCAGTGGTGCCAACGAAGAGTCTAATGTTTTGTAAGTGTAAAAGTCATCGTCACAGAGTAAAAGAGTTTGAGTATCAAAATTAATGTAACGGAAACGATTTCCACAGCCTCGTCGTGCTCATGCTGGCCAGATGACTGATAAAATCAGATGTGATCAGCTACAGTTAGAGTGTTACAGTTGGCTATTGCCACCATTTTCATTCTGAATGTAAACAATACCCGCCAGCTCCAGCTCAAGAGCTCCAGGTCCCTGTTCTTCTTCTTCGTCATGAAATCTGCGAGAGTGACTCTTCTATAGGCGTAGCCTTATTATTCTATGGTCATTTGAACAAGCTTTGCAAGAAATTGAAAACAATAACAAGTGGTTCTAACCTAAAATATGGCTGGTGACTGGTGACTAGTTGGCTGATGATTGAATTGCCCGCAAAAATTTAAATATGTATCACAATAGGTTTGAATAGGACATGGAGTGAGCAATGATGATGAGAACTTGAGATGAAAAGGAGAAACCCTCGGCGCGGCGCGGTCGACATGTAACACATATCGGCGCCTACAAGACTGCATGAATACTTCACGCATTGCGCCAAAGACGGTGTCGTCGCTGCGGTCAACAGCGGGCGGCGTGAAACGCATAGCGCCTACAAGACTGCATGAATACTTCACGCATTGCGTCAAACACAGTGCGTGCAGCAGCCGGTCAGCGTGAAACGCATACCGCATACAATACTGTAGGAATACTTCACGCATTGTGTCGAACACAGTGCGGTTAGCGCGGCAAGGCGGCGGAAGTTAAAATTATCAAACCACATTTATGTTTGTTCTTTCATAATTTTTTGGTTCATTTCATATGAATGGAAAGCCTTGTCCACACAGAGATAGGTTTACGGAATTTAACTTTCGCGCCAAGTTCAGTGAACTTTTGCTAGTAATGTTGACAGGGCTTTCGCAAAAAATGTGACCAACACGAGTAAAAGTGTTTCCTGCAGCCCTCCCCAACAACTTCTGAAAATTTGGCAGTCATGCCTTTCCTCACAAAACCCGGTGAATTCGTCGTTTTCTGCTCGAAGGAACGTAACTGCATTTAAAGGAGGCAAAATTTTCCCAGGAAATTCATTAGTCTACAAGAGAGTACCTGTGCAATTTTTTCCAAAATTTGTTAAATTTGTCTGATTTTTGCACGAGTTTAAAGGAAAAGTCAGTATAATTTTCCATTAGAAATGCCTGAGATTCTCGCGGTGAAAACGTAGGTAATTTGCGAAGGGAAATTTAGCAACATTAAAATATAGTTACGTTCTTTTTCTACGTCTACAAACATATAAATAAAATACAACATATCGACAGTGAAACTACCAAACCACGTATCTCGTTTGCGGTGTTTTAAAATCTACGCACGCATATTATTTTTTTGAAGTAGACCAAATCAATATCATTCCTTGAAGTTTTCACGGAATTTTCTCCGCACAAAGAGGAAAAATCACAGAAATTTTCAAGACTAGACGTTAAGTAGTTTTTCATTTAAAAAATAAAGTATGACAGGAAGTCTGCGACGTCGCAAACCGAGATACGTGGTTTGGTAGTTTCACCGTCGATATAAAAAAAAAACTCATAAATTGCAAATATTGCAATTGTAAAATAAACTAGTTAGTGTTTATCTTAAAATTGTACAGAAGTAAAGAATTTACAATTAATTTCGGCTTAATAATTAAGACCTTCGTGTCTTCATACAAATTTAGTTAAAACCAAAGAGAGGTATACTATTGTTAATAATAAAACTACGTATAACGACGAATTTTGAGGCAGAGAAAAGGGGGAAAATAAGGCGGGAGCCCGAATGCATTATACAAATGAGAACGAGGCGACGCGACGTACCTTTCCTTCTACCACCACTTCTCGGCAAAGGATTGTGTGTTATTTATTTTACGGAACTGCTATGGTCAGCAAAAAAATGGTCCGGAGGAGGGAGGGGTGGGGGATGGAGGTTCAGCGCTGGAACGAATAAGTGATATTTCAACGCGAGAACGATTCTGTGTATGACCATTTCTCCATGAATTTATGACTGTCGACCCGGGCGCAATATATTATTTATTTTTCAATATCAGTACCAATAGATCGATTGATCCGCTGTTCAAACCAATTGAAAAGGATCGATCAGTAGGGTGTTCCTTGATAATCGATATTTAACCGTAGCTTCAAATGGGGGATATCGAGAATCGATGAGCCGCGCCTCGCCACTGTTCAATATCCCGGCGATACCGTTGCGGCGGGATAAAAAATCGCGAGCCCTGCTCTTGACAGTAAAAGGGTAGAAACTATAACTCAGAAATATGGGCTCGTCCAGTGTCCACCGGCTACGCTCCCGTGACTTTCTCCTAGATCATAGTCCCGGGTTCATGCCGCCGTTCTGAGGAAAAACGCCGTATGAACATACGAGAGTTGCCGAATTTCTCCGGACGAAACATGTATTTTTTAGGAAAGTTATTGGTGGTTTCACGATAGTTGGAATAGTTTTGTCGCCGTTACAGAAACCACATTTCTCGGTCAGATTTTTAACAGTAATGATAATCACTCGAATTTTTTGCAATAATCTGCACAAGGTTACGTACTATAACGATGTTCAAAGGTTTATCGCTCTACTTTTCAATTTTAATATATAAATGGCCGAAAATGTGCTGTCTGTTACGCTGACTTTTTACCGCGTGATAGACAGCACATTTTCGGAATTTACATAATATTAATTGAGAAGTAGAGAGATATAACTTATGAAAAAGCNGGCCCGCTTCGCGGGCCCTATACGCATATGTATATAGGCAAAAATGTTCTTCCATTTTAATACACCATTTTGTGTTCGAGCTGCATCGATTTCAAAATTTTTGACGTAACACTCAGATTTGTAAATGATGAGGAATAGCTGGATGTACATAATTTCACAGTCCACTTACTGGAGAAATTTCCATTTATTATGTTATTTTTAAATACTTAATTTAAAAAAAAAAATCGGATTTCGACCGTTAAGAGTTAATAATATTTGGTCCGTCCCGACGCGACGCAGCGCCTGCCTTCTCACTTTGTATCTGCTGTTTATCTGCTGTAAATATTAATAGAAATTCAGCAATCAAGTAAATTGACCAATGCCACAAATCGAAGCCGGAAGAATGCAGGAAAAATTGAGTTAAACCTTATACCTTGGACCTTGAACCTTGAACCCTGAGCGATGCACCGTTCCTCAACTCTTCGAATGAGGAGCCCTTCACGAGCTTTTCCATTGTTTTATTGTTTATTCGAGTCACTCAGGTAGAATCCCACACCTTGACGTTTCTAGCGGAAACGACATATCTCTCACGCTATTAACATTGGACTTAAGTGACATGAGCTTTAAAAGCTCTACAACATTAAAAGTTCGGGGTTTCATAATTTTTTGCACATCTACATCTACTACAGATGACATACATGTAAAGATCATCCTTATCGGTCCGGCAGTTCGTCAGAAATAGTGCTTCCAAGATTTTGCTTGTAGCTGTATAATATAGATGAAAAAGCGTTATAATACGCAACCCTTTGAGGATTAATGCGAAAAAATTCGAGTGATTATCATTTCTACTAAAATATGACCAAAAAATGTGTTGTCTGTTGCGGCGACAAAACTATTCCAGTAATCGTGAAACCACCCTTGTGCTCATTTTTCCTTGAAGTTCTCAGATATTTTAGATTAAATTGCGGGCAAAATGGTCTGAAAGATCTAAAAAAAAATGTTGACAATGGAGATGTTGCATGTGTGAGGGATTTGCAATTTGACTGTTGATTCTTATGTAAAAGTTCGTGAGAAACACGATGGTGCCACTGGTTTTCTCTGAAATTAACTGTCAAGCTTAAAAAAAGCTCTCAAGTTGAGGCCAAAATGGAGGGTATATCCAACGCTACCCTGAGAGTCCACGTCTACATCAAGACAAACTCTCCATGCAAAGATAGGGAGCAAATACATTGACAGGGCTGCCACTTTATTTGGGGACTCCAAAACTGAAAACACGGCAGCCCTGTCAATGTATTTGCTCCCTATCTTTGCATGGAGAGTTTGTCTTTTTGTAGAGGTGGACTCTCAGGATAGCGTGGGATATCCCCTCCAATTTGGCCTCAACTTGAGAGCTTTTTCTGAGCTTGAGAGTTGATTTCAGAGAAAACCAGTGGCACCATCGTGTTTCTCGCGAACTTTTACATAAGAATCAATGGTCAAATCGCAAATCCCTCACACATGCAACATCTCCATTTCCCCGCTAAATTCGTTGTTTATTGAAGGAGATATGGCAACGTATGAAGGGTCATACGGCGTTCTTCCTCAGCACAGGAGCGCGGCTCTCACTCCTCCTTTTTTATTTTTTTTTTGTCGCGCAGGTCTTCGATTATTTTATTCCGCGAGTCCATTTTCGCTTTGCCTGTATCTATCCGGGCGGCAGGAAACGTCACCACATTCAACCCCTGCGGTTTTGATTTAATGCCGTTTTGACCGGTGTCAACATCAGCGTTGACAACATTTTACGGGGTTTTCGGAGGTGGTGAGGCGTGAATGATCGATTATCGATGTATCGCTAGCATAGTCAAATCAGGCGTTTTATCAAATGTCTGGCCAGATACTGAACACCGCGAGAAGAAAGTAAAGTTTGATTCAGCACTGGATGTAAAAAAAGTGCGAGAACTTATAAACTGCTAAATTACCCGCCTAAGCAGTTAATTTTACATCTTGGCATTGCTAATGTAACTACTGTAGCGGGTAATTCACCAGTTCATAGTTCTCGCACAGTTATCTTACATCCAGTATGCTAAATCAACTTTACTTTGTTTTCGGTGAAATTTTCAGAGTTACGAGATTTTTTATGTTTTCACAAGGACCTCTCTAATTTTCAATATTGTGAGACTAATGCTCCGTCAAAGTACAAAGGGGAAACGATGCTGCTTTGACGGAAAAACCACCCAAGTCCCGCCTGGCTATTTGCTGTCTCTCTCGCACTTATACGCTTGCTACCTGGGCGATTTTCTGTCTCTCTCGCACTTGTTGCCCTTGAACGGGGCAACCGAGGGTGCAACCACTCTCGGAGGGTCGCGGGGGAACGCGATGCTGCTTTGACGGAAAAACCACACAAGTCCCGCCTGGCTATTTGCTGTCTCTCTCGCACTCATACGCTTCCTACCCCGGCGATTTTCTGTCTCTCTCGCACTCATACGCTTCCTACCCCGGCGATTTTCTGTCTCTCTCGCACTTATACGCTTGCTACCTGGGCGATTTTCTGTCTCTCTCGCACTTGTTGCCCTTGAACGGGGCAACC